GATGATGATATCATGGGCAATTTAAAATACCATCAAACATGCTGTCTTTTCAATTTTTACAAAGGAAGAAAAATAAAGAGCCAGGGAATGCATTAAAACAAATTTCAGGCTTGTGAATTTGCCAGCTTTTCTTTCTCAGGAATTAATTTAGAAATACAACGTGTAGGAGGTTTGGATAGAAAAATAAACCTATCAAAAATGGAAGCAGGTTAAAAAAAAGAGTGCTTATCTGTTTCTTATACTGATAACACGCTTATGTTGAAAAGATGGGGGAAGCCAATATACAGTCACTGCTGATTAGTTTACATGAAAAAACTGATGGGGTCAATTTTCACAAAGGCTTTACTTGCACATAACTGCTTTACAATTTTCATAAAAACACGTTTTTAAAAAACGAGCAGAGAGGCTGCCCCTTCATGCTTTTCTATCTCAACACAAAGAACACTTACAAAGGGTCAAATGGTGGCTGGAGGCGTTGATGCACATCCACATCTGGCCCCAACACCTCCTAACCTCACAAGACTCCCTCACTCTGGACTGTGATTATGCTATGAAAACTTTTCGTCTTCAGCACTAAAATTCATTTTAAGACATCTCACAGGCATCTTTTCTAATTTTCTTTCCTCTTGTATTGCCATTGTATTTCCTCTACAAATAAACTCGATTAGTTGAAATTACCACTCCAAATGATGGACGATCAGTTTCCCATTCAATTATTGCTGCTCCGATGTCCAGAACGAATTACCACCATACTATGTTCACACTGAGTAATGCTAATGCCTACTGATGCCCCCAGCCTCTACGGCTCCGTCTCGTACTGACGCCAAGGGGCTTTCAGTTACAGCAAGGGCAGTCCCTCCCCCTCTTAGATCAGTTACGGAAGGAAACCCTTTGGAAATGATTTTGCTCCAAAGAGCAAAGTCTCAGCGGAGGAATTTGTCAACTTTTCTAAGTAATTACTCCTCAGAGCCAAGGTTGCCCCATTACCCGGGTTATTTTATCGAAATGGTATGGAAGACTTCATTCAATGCTTCATTCTGCCAGCCACTCACAGCTGCCCCGGGAGCTGTGGCTAATTCTTAACACTTTAAAGCAGGGTTCAGGACCAGTTTAAATTATTATTTCTAATCCATCCAATGGGCTATTTGTGAAATTTAATAGAAATGTATCAGGAAAACGAATTTTAGAAAGTCATGTAAAATTAAAACCCATATTTTATTATTAGATCAGGTACTGTCAAATTACTCTAAAGTTTTTAAACCTTTCTTCTTCATTTCCATGTCATTATAGCATTTTGAGTAGCACCCCTGTACAGTATAGGGCTAGACATGAAAAAACAGTGGGTCCAGTAGCAAATCCAATCACTGTCCAAGCACAGTCCCTAAAAATCCCCACCAGTCTAATTTCACCTCCCCTCGATCAAGGAGCTTTAGAAGAGCTACACATAGTCAGGGGTCAGAAAGAAGCCTTTGGTTTCTCAAAATCCAAGTTTCTCAACAAGTGGTTCCTAACCAGGGGTTTTTTAATCACCCAAGGCGCTTTTTCAAAACATACCTCTTTCCCCACCCCCAACCCCCTTAAAAATACGGTAATGATGACCTTTCTCAGTGAAGCCACATCCTCTGTAATGAAATGCCCTGGGGAAACCCAGCTAACAGCTGTAGTCATGGAGGGGGTGCCACATGCCAGGGACTCTCTAGGGCACTTCCCACTCAGCACTGCTGATCAGCCCTGTGAGTTAGCGATTATCTGTTCTTTAATGAGGAAAGGAAGCTTCTGAAAAGCTGGGTGACATGGCCAGGTTCACTGAGAAGAATGTGCTGAGTGAGATGACAACCCAGGTCTGTGGGTCTCCACCACGCTCATGTTGCCACCAATAAAACATTTCCACGTATTAAGTGCTACGTCCAGTATGGCAGAAAGGTCCGTGGAAATGGAGTATCATCTGTGCCGTGGTGCCCTGGGAGTCAGGCTGCTTGGGTGTGAATCCTGGCTCTGCCACTTCCAAGCTGGGGCAAGTTCCTCAGCCTCTGTCCTCACCCGTCAAATGGAGACACGGCTGCCACCTACCTCACGGGGTTCATCTAAGGACGACAGAAGTTCGCACACCCAGAGCGGAGCGCCTGACACACCCCCGTGCTTCTGCCGGTGCTTTCCCCTTGAACCTGCTCCTTCTCCGATCGCTTCCTGTTTCAGGCCCAATGTGAATCATTCTCAGTCCCCCCTCTGCCCATTTCCAATCAGCTGGCTAGTCAACTCTAGTTCCTATTTCAATTATCAATGTGCCTCAATCCCACTGCCACCACCCCAGCTCCGGCCACCACCACCGTCCCTTCAGCCTCTAGGCGCGCCTCCTCCCGTCCATGTTCCACAGCGTGGCCAGTGGTTTCTCTCAACAACGGGTCTGATCATGTCATTCCCCTGCTTGAAGCTTCTCTCAGCTCTATCCCAACGCCCCAGGAATGTCAAAATACCCTGTGCCTTGGTTTACAAGGCCATGACCCTACTGAGAGTGAGTGAGAGAGAGAGATTACAGACACACACACACACACACACACACACACACACATTAAACCTGAAGCTCTTCAGCTACAGCAGTACTAAGGGTGTCTCCCACAGACGTCTTTTATTTGGGGTTCCTTCTGACTGCCTAACACCTACCCATTCTTCTAGTCTTAGGCAGAAAATCCGCCCTTAACCGCCCTGCCCCAACACGCCAACTCCAAACACCACATTACACTACTGACCCTGATCCTAGGACTCGTCCCACTTCCCTCATCTGCCTCCCTGCTCCTAACTGCGTCTCAAACCCGTTGTATCCCCAAGTGCCCGGCACGGTGCTATGCACATAACTGCACAACAAATGCATCTACAGAGTGAGACAGCACCCACCTTTCTATCTCATTAATCAGCCACCCGCTTGGAAAAAGAGAAAAAAATAAAATAAAAGCCCTATCAAAGCAGTGGAACATGAGCTGCTGAACTTCAGTCATAAGAGAACCAAGAGATACAGGTGCACAGGAGCCAGTGTTTAAAAAGGATTCCCAAATGTGCCAGGTGTATATACCAGGAGAACAGGCCTTTGGCAGGCCTCTCTGCAGGCAGGGCCTTCAGGAGGACGTCCCTCTTCACTGCATTCTCTGCCCAGATGACAGTCATCCTGCCAGGTGCTGCCAGGCTCACCACTGCTGGATCACAACACAACCAAGTGGGGCTGCAGGAGTCAGGCCCACGGCAGTCTCTCAACCCGCCCAATGACAGTTGAGTTCAGATTAAAAAATGAGACACACGTATGTAAATTGGAAAGTTATCTTTTCATTCATATTGGAGATGACTGTGGTAGCTCTTAAGTATCTTGGACTGGCATCAAAAAAATTAAATCTACTCACTGTTGTGGGTTGAATTAAGTCTCCCAGCATGATATGCTCTAGTCCTCAGCCCCAGGACCCATGAATGTGACCTTATTTGGAAACAGGGTCTTTGCAGATGTAACCAAGATAAGATGAGGTCATGATGGATTACAGAGGGCTCTAATCCAAAGACTAATGTCCTTATAATAAGAGGGAAATTTAGACACAGACACACAAAGATAAGGCCATGTGAAGACGGAGACAGAAACTGGAGTGGGGCACCTATAAGTAAGGGAACATCCAGGATCGCCAGCAGCCACCAGCAGCTGGAAGAGGCAAGGAAGGGTTCTTCCCTCGCGCGTCTGGAGGGAGCCTGGCCCTGCTGACACCTTGATTTCAGGCTTCTAGCCTCCAGAGCTGTGAGAAAATACGTTTGTTGTTTTAAGGCACCCAGACTGTGGTGCATTGTTACGGCAGCCCTAGGAAACTAACACACTCACTAAAGTGTTTTTGGGGAAAAAAGAGAGAGTTAATTGGCTCCTTTCCTCGGCAGATAGTGCTAGTCTTAGCTATTACACTGTATAAAAAATAAATCGCACATTCCTTAAGAGCATTAATCTAGATTCTTTTCAATTTTTACGTTATATTTTTGAAGCTTAGTTTTAGTTCATAAGACAGCAGTTTTCTCTGAATGATAAACTAATGTTAATATTTCATGCTGCCATCCCAGCCAGGTGCATCCGAATTCAGAGGACACTATCCCTAATAATAGAAACAGTAAAGCAAAGGGAACTAAAACATTCTTTCAAGCTGACATTTCAGACTCAGCAAAGCGCTCAGCTTTGCAAAGGCCATAAAGAACAGAAACCAACCAGTTAACAAGCTGCTGAATGAAATCCGGCAGGTGTGTGCACGTGCGTGTGTGCCTGACATGGACACGGTGGAAACCACTGACAGTGGAAGCCAGGTAACAGCTGCAGTGAGTGCCATCCTTAAGCCGGTGTAATGTGAGATACTGCTTCCCAACCTTCACCAAGCTCTCCAACATAGACATATTTTTGGTTTACAATCGCTACTTAATAGTAAGCATCACAATATTCAACTCTCGGATAACCACTGACAAACGTGAAGAAACACTGACACCCAGAGGCCCAGAGTGGTCCTTTTCCAATTCTACTGGCATTTGCTCCATCTCTTAAAAGCATCCTTTCAAATCTCATTCTTTGATACCAAACGCTACAGAAGCAGACATACCATTTAGCCTCACAGTGGCTCCAAGGAAACCAGTACTGAAGCTCTCTCTGGGTATGAATGGCATTATTAACCGACTGCCATTAAAGTAATTTAGGAGAAGTGATAAAAGATTTAAGGCACATCTCTACAAATCACTCTCATCATTTTTACCATTTCATAGCCTGACAGTACTATCCAGTTCACACCAGGAACATAAAACATTTGAAAGAGGAAATGTGGGTTCTAAAGACAAGACCTTCTTTTGAGGTGTTCCCACTCATCACTGCTGTAAGGAGGTAGAGAAACAGCTCAAGCACAGCACAAAGAACACTGGCTTCGGAGTCCTAGATCTGCGCTTGTCAGCTGGATGTTGTGCACTTTTAAACAGAGCTATCTATGTGAGTGCAGGTGACCCACCTCTGCACAGACGGGGTGGATTCCGATGGTGCTGTCCAGCTGCTCCTTGGTCAGTCCACACTTGAGCGCGGCTGCAAAGCCCTGTGTAACTTCTCCAGCATTTGGACCCAGCACGTGGAAGCCCACAACACGTTCCTAAGATATAAAACGAAGTAATAAAATGACACTGATATTTTTTTCCCCTTCACAGCATGGAATATGTCCCTAGTCTATTGTAAAAACCCCAGTCACAAATGGCCAAAGCCTGATATTAATGCTTGTTGCTAAAAGCTGTTTAGGCTGAAGATAAAGATAACTCCAACGTGGGCCATACAGAGTGTGGTGGTCACATTGATCAAGAAGCAAGAGACAAGAACTGGCCATGAGGGATGAGGAGGAAAAACATCAAAAGCAAAAATGTCTGCAACTCTGTAAGCACCTAAATGTTCTGGAAAATGCTTTCAAAGAGCAGCTGTGTCCTCATCTCCTCTATCTGGCTGTCTCAAAGCTCCACATATATTATCTGTGATAGCTGAAACATTTAAGAGCAGTCATTCAAATTAAAAAATCATTTTAACTAAGGTTTTAGGGATAGATAAAACAATTAGACTTAAGACCCTTCCAATCTGAAAACATGTTTGATACCAATAGAAAACTGTTTGGCCATTCTGAAATACCTGTGTGGGGATTATTTTGGATAAATTCTAAATCCCAAACTCAGGCGAACCTCTGCCAAGAGCAGAGAAATGTGAAGCATTCTACTGTTCAGACTTTCAGAGTCAGTGCTACCTGAGCTAGACTATCTAGTCCAACCTCCTCATAAAAGATGAGGCAACTTGGGCTGTGGGCTGCAGACCTTACCTAAGGTTTAGCCCCTCCATGGGAAACACTCAGGAAAGTCATTCTGCTGCCTAAGTACTGTAATGTAGCCCACGTTGGGCTTACATCATTCATCCTGACAATCAGGGGATGAGTATATGGGTAAATAAAACACAAAATATACTAGGTCTTAGAATTCACTAGATGTACATGTAATAATGTGGCTAGATCTCAAAAAATGCGATTTAAAAAAAGTTGAAGGCTTCTATTTAACTGAGGATACCACTCAATTAAACCACAATGCATAATGCCTATGGGTACATCACAGGTGGCAAACATATAAAAAGATGAACAGGTGACGTACTCCAAGTTCAAGACAGTGTCGCCTCCGGGGTAGGGAAGAAGTGAGGGGTACAAGATCAAGAAGAAATGCAAAACAGTACACGGGCGTAGGATAATAGTTAACAGCATGGGATCTACTTTGCCTGGGATTGAATTCCAACTCTGCCATTAACTAGGAAGTGCCCTGGCACAATTATTCTACTTCCTATCTAATGCTCGTACAAATCAACTTTTACTAAAACTTGTCTAAAAAGAAAAGAACCTTACGTAAAATTGTTCTTTATGTCAAATGTGTATAGCTCGTTATGGGGTGTTCTAATACATTCAGTTATTAAATATATCTATGATGACCTTTTTTTGCAGAGGATCCAGGTTTTCCTAAAACCCTGGGTTCTGTGAAAAGCAATCTGCAACCGTGCTTGCCTGAAGCAGTCATTTCTAAACAGGATACACAGCTTAATATTAAAATCCCAACACAGGAAAATTATGAGTTCATTAGGCTTTTAACATATGGATTCTTCAGCATCATCTCATTTTTAATGAGGACATTTTTTTCTTAAAGATCCCAGCTAAGTTAAAAACACCAGTTCTCATAAGATTTAATTCACAACACTTACAGAGTTATCTGTGTATGGACATACATGTATCCTGGGTCACAACATAAAATGGGGGCAGCAGTCAGAGCAGTTTGAAAAACAGTGATTTAGTCAATCTCTTTGTGAGTACGGAAACCAATTCTGTGAGATGAGTCAAGGAGTTTGCCCAAAGGCCTTCATTTCCGATTGTTACACGCAGCAGCAAGCAATGAAGTCTTCAATCAAGTCTTCAATCAGAGCCCAATTAAGCGCTCTTCCCATTACAGCTTTCTCATTTGTACCAGATGCTTAACGATATATAAACTTGCGATACTCCTGTTTTTTGTTTCGTCATTATTTTTAGATATCGATGACAACTGGTTCCCTTTCACACAAACAAACACCAAAAGTCGTCGAATTGTCCCTCTGCTTCCTTCACTCAGCACGTTCTGACTGCCTGCCTGCCTACTATGTGCAGGGCTCTGTGCCAGTGAAGCTTGGGGGGTGGGCGGGGGGGCATCAAGCTTTGTCACCATGATCCTTGCCCTGGGATAATGTCTGCGCAGCTGGGGAGGCCAACAGGTGAGACAGTAAAGGAATGCAGTGTGTAGCATGAGATCAAAATAGAGCTACATATTAAAAACAAAATGAAGTTAGCTGCAAGGATTAAATAAGAATTGCATGCACTTACATTGTCTTTCATATTGCAGACTATTTTTGCGTAGCATTTGTTGCTATCTCTTGATGGAATCGTCCATTCCAATGGCCAAAAGTAACTGTGGTAAACCTAAGAAGATTGAAGCGCAATTAGACCCATCATCTTGGGAATATGTTTGTCAAACACGAGCTGTGGTGCAAGGACAGTGGAGGCTCTTCAGTAATTAAACTTCATTAAATAATAAAATTCATGGAATAAGAATCTGGTCAGAAAGTAAATGACTTTAATCTCCTTGTTGTCAGGCCTTTTTGCTATAATGACATCTCAACCTCACAAGCATACACCTTAAGTAATAAATAATAACAACAAAGAGCAAGCAAATGAGGAAAAAAAGCCAATAATTACTTGCTGTCTTGCATAAAAATACAAAAAAAACAAAAACAAAAACAAAAACCAACAGCAACAATAACAACAAACCCACCAACACCGTCTTGTTACCTTATAGGAATGCCAACTTTGGGCAAGAAACAAGTAAGGTGCCAACAACAATTACAGCAATTACCTAGTTCTCTTATATGATACTTCCCAAGCCATTTCCTCCTTTAGCATTATTCACCAAAAGTATTGAAGGAAAAATATAAGGAGCGAGGGAAGATGGGCAAACGGAAGGACACACAGACATCCTTACTGATGTTTCAAAAACTCAAGTCCTGGATGACTAAAGGGATTTATTTTCTCTTCCAACTGCTAGCCTCAATTAGAAACATATGGTTGGCTACCTTTTAAAAACATATTGATTGTGTAGACTTATAATAAGTGTTCTTTTATATAAAATGATGAAAATGTTTTTAATGTGGGTTATAAAATTGAATGTAGAGTACCATAGTATCACAATTACAGAAAAAAAGATGATTAAAGAAATTACCCCAACTGCTAACAATTGCTGTGGTATAGACATAACTCCATAGTAATTGTTTCCTACTTCCCTTAGATTTTTCAAAATTTCTTCACCTCAAATGCATTCTTCTTACAATAAAAAATGAAAATTCTAATAAAACAAAATCCAAAGATTGTCTGTCAAGAGGTATGATATATTAAGAGCCTTAAAATGTATATACCTTTGCTAGGAATCTATTCTCAGAAAATAATCAGAGAAGCAGACAATGAATAATGAAGAGGTTCATCATTCCATTAATAATAGTGGAAAACTGTAAACAATGTAATAAAAGAATGGAGTAACAAATTATCATATAACATCCCTAAAAGGAAATATTGCACTAGTCATTTAAAAAACAGTGTTTTAAAGGGGAAATGCTCGTAACCTAATATTAATTTTAAAGGACGGAAAATGGTATGTAACGTAATCATCACACTGTTAAAAAAAATTTAAGACACATGTGCCTACACAAAATTACATACAATATATAAACACATATAAATTACTTAGAGGCCAGAATTTGCCAAAATATTAATAGTAGTTATTCATGAATTAAAATTTCCTCTTTCACAGTTTCTTAATTTTTCAAACTTCCTATGAGGATATACTATTTTCAGAATCAGAAACAAAATGTTAATAATGTGTTACTAACAAACAAAGATATTAAATGCTACTACTAATGCATATATAAAGAAAAAGATAGCTAAGAGATTTAAAATAGACTCTTATTATTGTAAAATTTACTCTGGTTTACAAATCTGGTCTTTTAGAAGATTTTACTAAAAACAACTTTTTTCCAAATGATTTGAAACAGCAGTCCTTTTGTGCACCATTATTTGTGTATATGAAAATAGCATCCTTGACTATATGGTAAGTGGTAAGTGGCAAAGTCAGTGTAAATTAGAGGGTAATGGTAGGGGGGGAGAAAATACTAACAGAACAATAGAATTGTAGTTAACTTTTAATTTTCATCTTTGTATTTTCCATATTACCAAAAATATTGTTTTAATAATAAAAGGAATCAGTAAAAGTGGCTATAAAAAGTAGAAGTAAGTATTATTGGGTCAACTGATGAAAGTGAAAAATAGAAGGTAGATCAGATAATAAAAGTATTGTATCAATATTAAGTTTCCTAAACGTAACTATCCTGTGGTTATGGTTCAGGAAAAACAAAAAAATACACACAGAGAGGGAAAGAGAGAATATGAAAAGTATAAAATAAATGGGCAAAATGATAATAAATATCTGAATCTGGATGATGGGCATATGGAAGTTCTTTGTATAATTTTCAACTTTTCTGTATGCTTAAAATTATTTTAAATTTTGAAAAAAAAGTAGTAACTTAATATAGGTGTAAAGGGTAGAACTCACCTCAATATTTTCTTCCCCAAATTTCTCCACAGCTTTCTCTTCAGAAAGACCACAAGCACCATATTCCAAAGGAGTAAATACAGTAGTTGGAACATTTTCATAGTCACACTGTTTCAAAGTGGAGAAGAGTTATGATCAGAGAAATTATAACTCAAAAAAGGGTATATAGGGGAGGAAAGCAAACTAATAAATTTCTACCAAGCTAATAAATATGGGAAGCCACAATCCCAGGTATAAACCTCTACTCTGAGAACCATGAACTGATGAAATGAAGCTTTAGCAGAGGTTTCAAGTCCGGCAAGACTAGTCACAAATAAATGATGCACACAGCTTCTCCATCCACCTACCAGCTGATGTTACCAACAAGGACATATGTTTTCTCCCTTTAAAAAAGCAGCCCAAAACAATACTAGTGTACCCAATGCTGACAGTCTCATTATTGATGACAGAAACTAATAGACTTCTTTGGAAAATCAATTAGGTAATGCATATTAAGAGTCATAAAAACTATCTTATACTTTTTGGCCCAATAACTCCATTCTTAGAAATCTATAGTAATAACTTGATAATATATGGGAGAAGCTACGTGCATTAACTGAGCAATGCTCTAGCACTCATCAATAGTAGCAATATTGGAGTAGCTTTAAAATGCAAATAAGGAAGTGGCTCTACAGCACATACTCTCAGTGTAATATTATGCAGCCATTACAATGAAATGAAAATGTAATGAAAACCACAGAAACTAAAAAAGTTAATGATTATGACAGTATTTCCAAAGCATATTTTGTTAATAGGCATAGATGACAAAAGGCTTCTGAAGTCAAAGAAGTCGTACATTGTTGTATTACACAAATAAATAGGTTTCTCAACTATCAGATTTCTCAGAGCCTTTAATATGCTGATGGGAATTGGGGAAAATGTTATTACTATGTAAATGCCAAATATGTCTGTAAGTGCAATTTGATAAAAACCTACCCTGTCACATTTGTACATAGAAGTGAGCCATTCTGCATTTCAAACATGAGAAACTGAATTCTCACTCTCTGAAAACAGTAGGGTGAAATCTTTAAAATGTGCCTCTCTCTAGAAACAATATAATCCTTATCTTCTAAGAACATAAACCTTTGGAATTCTGATGCAAAAGTAAAGGCAGACATCCACTTAGAGCCACAATAGTGTATTAGCGACCACATTTACCTTCCTGCTTTAAACAACTAGAAAACCAGACAAATATGAAGCAACACTTTTTAGACACTGGACAACAGCTGCAGGGCAGAACCCCAAAGAGGGTGGAGCTGCACAGAGAGAACCCCTGAGATCTGTACAGAAGTCCTCTTCAGATTTAGGCTGAGCACTGACCTGTGAATGTCCTGTGAGATGCTAGAACATAGCACTGTACCCACACAAGGAGAGAGATGTCCAAAGTCAGTAGACAGATCCATCCAATTTTTTTTTAGGTATTTTGTACTACGATGATTTCAAATTTATTTGTGAGTACATTTATCCATGTGTGCCCTTTGGTTATTGTTGGTATATAATATTGTAGTATCTCTTTCCATTTTAGGAAACCACAAAGATATAAGGTCAAAAACAAATTCAGTGCATCTCAAGCTATATTTAAATACACTTTCTTGGTTTACCAGATACTAAACTCCAACAATGAATACAAGATGCAACTCACTCAAAGAGGTAGTTAAGTTTATTGCAAATAGTAATACGAACCGACCAACTGATATTCCCTGGATGATCAGACAACCTGGGATTCAAAACCCTTTTTATCCTCAACTCTGTTAATTTCAAAATATAAGATTTCATCATGCTACAATCCAAACTAACGCTAGGTATATTCAAGATGCTCGTTACAAATTTTACTAACAGCATTCTTTGAGGTTTCCCTTATTCTAACCAAACCTAATTTGACCCATGATGATTTATGCATAAGGAAAATGGATAGTGATTAACTTCTTAACAATTAATGTTTCTAGAATCCTTTTAAAAAAATAATTAGGGAGGGAATACTGATAATGGGGAAGGTTATACACGTGTCAGGGCAAGGGATATATGGATAATCTCTGTACCTTCCTCTCAGTTTTGCTATAAACCTAAAACTGCTCTAAAAAAATAGAGTATATTTATTATTTTTTGCCATCTAGTCCCATGAAACATACCTAAGAGTTTCAATTTCCTACAATAACTTTTAAAAACCACTTTATAACATTCATGTAACACATCCAACACTCCAAGAGCAGAAGATACCTTTTTAGCAGGGATGGGGGAATAAAGCCTGCATTTTGGTTGAAGCAGCTCTGCACAATGACATTATTACCGAGGTCCCCAAATCTTTTTATATAGCCTAGACAGGTGCCATAAAAAGAGTACTTAATTTGCTAATAATAAAATTGATGTAATGTGCAACTATTATGACTATATAGAACATTCCAGTGCTGACACTTGATTCATCAAGTTCATTTTATTCTTAGTGTGATTCCAAGAGTGACAATTTTCATAATAAAGTCACAAGGCACAGCAGTCTTAACAATGTCTTATTTGGAATACAGCTAATAAAGCACATCTAGGATGCCATCATCAAAATAACTAAACTACTGAAGGCCTGGGAAACTTCCCAACTGTCCCTGAACAGAGCACTGGGAGTTATTAAAAGCAGTGTCTCAGTGGGTGACGGCCATGATGCTCACCTTGACAGTGGAGCCGGCATAAAGCCTCTGGGCCAGCAGCCTTCCGGCCTGGATGGCCACTGGGGTGAGCTCCAGCTTCCCTTCCAGAATATCGCCGATGGCATAGATGTAAGGCACACTGGTCTGTTCTTCATCTGTGACAGGTATTTTTCCAGTCCTGCAGATTGATTCAGTTAAAAAATCATCATTAATTACCACTATTAATTAAGTAGAACAAAATCCCCTTTCTCCCAAAGAAACCCAAAATGGTAACTCTAGCTGAGGGCAATGTTCTAATGTATTACCAAAACGAAACAACAACAAACAAACAAACTCAGAGGAAACAAAAGCTTAGAGACAACTCTGGTTGCTATTTTGAAAATGGAAGGAATAAGAAAACGATAAGAAACCCTGGAATGGGAAAACTAGATCACACTGGTGAAAAATAAGAATTCTAAATTATAATAACCAGGTCTGTCAGTTACTACCGCTATGATTTTGGGAGGGCTATTTAGCATCTCTAAGCCTCGTTTCCCCCTCCTATAAATGGGGACAATGGTAATGAAAATAACAGTAAGAAGGAAAAGAACACCATCATCTACCTTAAGGGACTGTGAGGATTGAATGAGAATGCATATAAAACATCCAGCACAGTAGTCAGTGGCTCATAGTAAGTACAGAATAAATGTTAGCCATTAACATTATATAAAATCTAAACCTTGGATCCAACTGGAAACTGGCTAGCAGGTTATGAAAAAAAAAAAACAATGAAGAAAAACAGTCCTCACAGTGACATTAGGAATCTCTTCTGAATAACTGTGATTCCTGCAAGGAATAACAGCTTGCCAGTACTCCAAGGGAGCCTGCCATTCACAGCACTCGTTTTCACTTGATGTAAGAAAGGCGGTATTGGGAAATACCCCATGCCGCTCCCATAAGCGGATACCAGAGCCTCAGTTATCCGGTGCAAGGGGGACAGTCCAAAGGATTTTAACTTTTAAAACCCTTGAAGAAATAAAAGTTTTCATACTAGCAGCTGTCACTAGAAATGTAGTGGCCACTCAAGCGCTCCTAAAACTGGGGAGCTTTCAACGTGGTTCAAACCTAAAAATTAAATGAAGCGAAAGCACATGCCTGCCAGTAACTGGGAGGGAGGCTGGATCTTTCTCTGTACACACATACTTTAAAGAAACAAAAAGCAAGCCAGTGTATCGCTCATTTAGATTTTGAAAAGGAAATAAACAAACAAACAGGAAAGAAGATTTTTTTTTTCTAAGCTTAAAAAGGGAATTCACCAACTATGGAAAAATCAACTTTAAAAATCTAAAACTCAAGTATTAACAGTATTAATATTATAAATACTTGAAATAGTATTCAATAAAATATAATAAAGATTTTTTTCTTACTTTTCATTTATCTTTACCCCCACGGTTTCTAAACCAATTTTTCTTGTGCAAGCATCTCTTCCTATTGCCAGCAATACCTGAAAAATTATCAACGATATTGTGACTATTAACAAAAAGGCTTTGCATGAGTTATTTAATCTTATTCTTTTCTGCTTACTAAGCCAATCTGATTCATACACTATTTCATTAAGAAAATAATGCAAGAGTTTAAACAAATTACAATCTTTAAAAAAAAATCCTTTGAACATGATATAGCAGAAATCTTTATCCATTTCTTTTTAAGAAAAAGAGTGTTAACAATTCCTTAATAAACCTAAACAAGTTTAAAGACAAATACAGCAGAGCCTATGACTGAATTCAGTTACTTTAAATATTAAAAGTGGTGGGCTGGGCTGGGCCGGCCTAGCGGCTCAGTTTTAACCAACTGAGCAACAGGGTCTCCAGTTCGATTCCCGACCCGAGCTGAGCTGCTGCTGAGCTGCCGACAGGTGGCAGGATTGCTCAGCTAATGGGCTGGTGAGATGAAAGGGAAGAACACGGGGCAGAGAAATTCTAGCTCATTTAAAAATGTTGATGGGGCCGGCAGAGTAGCTCACTTGGTTAAGAGCGTGAGTTCTGAGCAATAATAGGGTGCCAGTTCAATTCCCACATGGGCCAGTGACTGTGCCTGAGCTGCGTTGCTGCTGAGCTGCCAACAGGTTGCAGGATGGCTCAGCTGGTGAGAGCACGTGCTCCTAACAAGGTTGCCGGTTAGACTCCCGCATGGAATCCCACTCGCAACTAAAATTGAACATGGCACCTTGAGCTGAGCGGCTGCGAGCTGCTGACGGGCGGTGGGATGGCGACTGGACTTGGAGCTGAGCTGGCTGAGCCCTCCACAACTAAGATTAAAGGACAACAACTTGGCTGTTCCCCTTCCTCAATTTCCCAACATTGTTCCCCTTCTCCAATTCCCCAATAAAATCTTTAAAAAAATTTTTTTTTAAGTTGATGCCTTTTTACAGCCATTTGACAATATTTGAAGTCATAGTGGAGAAAATTTGAAGCCATCCCTGCACCAAAACAAATTACGGTATCACAAGTAATAAAGATGTCTTAGAATGGGAATAGAACCAAGGGTCTTAGAAATAGCAAATAGCCATTTTAAGTACCCAGCAAATATGCGTTATTATTTGCTTTCTAATGAAGTGTTGACCTGGGTCCATTCCTTACCGTATTGTACTCCCCTTCAATGACTTCGTTACCATTGGTGGACTTAGCTACCACCCTGAGTCGGCCTGGTGTCCCCGCTTCAATCTGTTCAACCTAGAAAAGTGATCAAGTTTTATTTCATAATAAAGACATGCATCAAGGTGGAGAGTTGTGTCCTCTCTATTTGGTTAATCCAAAGTTAAAACACAAAATCTGATTTGAGAGGTCTGTCATGTCCCATCTCCCTCACCTTAACATCATTAGGACGGTGTGATTCTTTTATTAATCCCCTTCTTTCTTGCTGCTAATGTTTGCTAGAGGGGCTTTCCTTCAAATAGTTCTAAACAGAATACAATTCAGAGAGAAAGCCAGAGAAAGCACTACGACCCCTAAAATCACACCAACAACTTACTGCTTTTCTCAGGCTCCTACCTTGTGACTCACCGAGAACCCCCAATGCCCAGGAGAGCCACTGCTGCTCAGAGTCAGAGATTCGCTTTTGACTACAGATGTTCAGTTTTGTCAACGAAAGACAGACATGGGGGTAGGCCAATCATGATACAAATAACAGCTAGAAAGCCCTAAAAACCATAGTGGGCGAGGAGGTGAAGACAACTGGGGGTTGTCTTCAGCTGTTAAGGATGTAAGGAGGAATAACCAGCCCCAAGCTGTGCCAAATGAGATCCCACATAGGAGCCTACTGCACAGAGAGGTCAATGATAACCTACAGAATGGGTAGCAATGACGAGAAACCCATCACCTGAAGGATTCTGCATGTATGTGGTTAACATTTGACGTCTCTGAATGGCAGCCAAATCATGGGCTTCTGTAAAATATTTACTGGGAGAAACCCGTAAAATCACCTGCAATTTCTACTCTACTTTTGAAACACAACCACTCTGTAAGGGAAAACGGTCAAGGGTCCTTTTATTTTCAACATCAATAAACAGTAAAGATTTCCGTCTTGAACTCCTTTTCTTATATATTTAAGTCCCTTTGAACATACTAGAAATGTCTTTCCTGTTTAAAATGTTCTTCTTTGGAGAAGAGGTGAATTGGCCCATGACTTAGATTTGCTTAAAAATCATATGGGCCTCATCCTACGTCTTACTTCTTTCCTGTTCCAGTTACTCACTTTTCTGTTCCAGTCAGTCATTTTCTGTATCCAAAACAGTTCCTGCATTTAGAGCAGTGCTAATCCCCACAGCCTCTTTGCTCATACTATGTTCTCTGTCCAAAACGCACTCTCTCCCTCCCTCCTCTCTGCATACAGCTTCTTGCACTCACTTTATAGTACAGCAAGTGTTCACTACCAGCCTCTGGGGATTGGGGACACCCTGGCAACCCAGGCAAAACGTAATGTGCATAAGCACAGGCTTATCCACGAGGGATAGTCCACCAGCTTCTCATGGGGAACCACAACACCCCAGATGTTAACATGCTATAAAGGAAGGCGTGCCTTTTCTATCAGTAAAGCATACTCATATACATACAGCCGCTGTTTTCTAATTGTAGTCCTAACACAAATCACGCCTCTACCCCCTAAAAAACAGCTACAGCCATCAAGTGCTGATAACTTCAGGAAATCTACTTAATCCTCACAGCAATTATTATGAGACAGAAAGATGGTACCCGGCACAGACTAAGTCTAAAATGAATCTAAGTGTAAGCTAATGTGGTCTTCACAAGAATGAGATAGGTGCTATTCTCATCCTCACGTTACATAAAAAACTGAAGCTCAGAGCAGTTAAGTAATTCCCCCAAAGTCATAAAGCAAGAAGCTGGCAGAGCAGTACTGAGTCCAGGTCATTCTGACCCCGACACTCACATTCCATCAACATTAGAGATGTCATGGTCATGCAGCGAAACTGTTAAGCCACTGAGCAATTTTTAAAATGACAACCGAGATTCCTTAACTTTAACATATCTACCTGCACTAAAAGAAACTATTAACATGAGACAGGCGAAGTGCTCGATGTATCGAAACATTTGTCATAATGCTAGTAAGTCCCAATAGAACCTGGTATATTATTCAGCCTTTTCAAAAGAATTAATTAGTATAAAAGGCCAACCCACATAAAATTAGATAATTGTTTTCAGGGAAGCCAGAATAACATTGTGCATCTGTTGACTACACTGTATACTGAAATGTCTTATAGAAAAAAATTTTAAATCAGTCTAGTCTTGAACGCTTATTTAAAACACTGGTATGTATGAAGCAACATAGTATAACAGACAAGAGATAAAGAAACACATAAAAGGAGGCATTAAACAGTAGAGAACCAAGGGTGAGAAAGTTCAGAAGAAAATGAAGAAATTATTAATCTGCCAATAAGAACAGAATTATTTAGGTGGTAGGTAGGTTCAAGTTTATGCATCAGTATCACACAATTACAGTGTTTCTAATTCATAATGCCTTAAAGATGCTTCTATCACCCACCCAACTCTCTTTCCTGACTTTTAACATGAGTACAGAATCAACAAACTTACAGGCAACCCACTTACTTTTATTGGTACAAACTGTTTTATAAACTTGACACCGTGTTCTTCCATATGTTCACCAATTTTGTTGGCCATGTCCTGGTCAAATCCTCTAAGGAGAATGGACCGTACCATAACAGTGACATCTAGACCAATCCCAGCAAGAAATCCGGCACATTCCAAAGCCACATAGGATGCTCCGACCACCAGGGTCTTCCCCGGGCAATAAGGTAAGGAGAAAAGATCGTCACTGAAAAGAAAGTTTTTTTAAAAAGGGAAGAAAGAAATAGAAAAATGTTCATATGTGAATAATGACCAAATCAAAGAAATATTTTTACTTTTCCATAAACAAAACACGTTTTAAATTTAAAACATTCAATTAGCTACACACATCATAAGGAGAGATTTTCATAAGGTCTTAAGACACTCGCCCTTTCTTGCTACCCAGTTGCTTTGGGGGTAGCTCCAGCTACCACAGCCAAGCTCAACAAACCGTATTACCTTCTGACAGTAGAACAACTCACAAACAAAGCAATTTTGAGTTGTTTGGAATAATTCTTCACTAATGTGTTTAACGTCATCCATTTGCAAACCCAAACCCCCTTCTTCATCCCACCACTCAGCTAGCTATCTCTGAGGCAGAAGGTCTGTTACCTTTTACCTGGAAAACCAATTATCAAGAGTGGGGAGAGGGATGGGAAAAAACTTTCAACATACTTTTTTTTTGTAATATAAAAATCCAACTATAGAAAGTAAAACCTGTCAAAATCTTCTAGTCAAGTGAAGAATATACAAGACATGAGAGATAGCACAAAAGCACTGTTAGAAAATGATTTTTTTTAATTATGAGAGGGGAGCCTATTCAACACAACAGTTGCCATCTGTGCTGCCCCCATGAGACACAAAGGGAAAAAAATCATATTCAACTCCCAAAAAGGGTCTAAAAAGAGTAAAAACACAAATCAGAAACTCCTGTGCAAAAAGCATCCAAGGGCTGGCTGAGTGGCTCAGTTGGTTAAGAGCTCGCTCAAGAGTTTGAGCTCTGAGCAACAGCGGTTCGAGTCCCGGCTCAAGCTAAGCTGCCGCTGAGCTGCCAACAGGTGGCAGGATGGCTCAGCTAAAAACAAACAAACAAACAAACAAACAAAAACCAAAACATCCAAGAGGATGTATTTCTCAACAACATGGCTTCATGATTTAAAATACCCAAACAACAATTTATCACTTGATGGGCTAAAGTAAACCACATAGCAAAACCTTGCTTGACTCATTATTTCAGAAAGTCCATCTACACTGACACTGTCACCATTCAAACAATTAATAGAGACTAGGGTTGGATAAATCTAAATGGTCTGCCATACTCTTAATTCTTTTAGTGTCCACATTGCAAGTGTTAGGGTAAGGTAATAGATGATCTTAGTTTTGCAGCAAAAAAAAAAGTATATACATATGTATCATTTTACAAAATGTGAATATCCATCTAATTTTATATGTTATACATTTATACTATATACTCACACATATATAAATTTCAAATACAAATATAAATTTAAACATATGTCTGTATGTTAGCAGTGATGTTAACTCAACGGTAAGACAACCAATGTTTATAGTTTTGAATTTTTAAAATGTTCTAAAATAATTTTTCTGACTGGCTGAGTGGCTTAGTTAGTTAAGCGCGCAAGCTCTGAGCAACAGGGTTGTTGGTTTGATTCCCACATGAGCCATGAGCTGCGCCCGAGCTGAGCTGCCACTGAGCTGCCAACAGGTGGCAGGATGGCTCAGCTGGTGAGAGCACGTGCTCCTAATAACAAGGTTGCCAGTTCGACTCCCGCATGGGATGGTGGCCTGCTCCCCCACAACTAAGATTGAAGGACAACTTGTCTGTTCCCCTCCCTCAATTCCCCGATAAAATCTTTAAAAAATAAAATAATTTTTCCTTTCTCTTTTTCCCAGTCTCCTGTCCCTCTAGGAGGTGGGGGGGATCATACTACATTCAAGGAAATGGACTAAGTGGGTTTGAAGAAAAAAGCATAAATCCACAATGGGTTTTTCTTTCCTCCCTGCAATTTCCCCTTACCTGCTGATGCAGTATTCTTTGTCGCCAGGGATGCCCAAGTAACGAGGCCTTTCACCTGTAGCAATGAGAAATCTCTCAGCTGAGTAAATTTTTTCTTTGCCTTTGTTGTTTGTTGCCTGCAAAGGAACCAGTATGACAGCTTTCAATAAATTGTTATCTCGTAGAATTGTAAGCTTTATAGTTAACAAAGGAGGCCATTCATCACATTGTCCAATTTGATCTTCATAAAAATTTGGTACCGTGTAAGATTTATTAAGCTCTGAGTAATCTTAAGGGACTTGCTCAAGGTCACAACACTAGTAAGAGGCAGAGCCAAGACTCAAATCCAGGTAATCTGGCCCCCAATCCAGTACTCTCACCCTTTACCACACCACAAAAGAAAGTCCCCTAAAATGGGATGGCACAATCACCAAACTGGACACACTGGTTCCCAGTGGCTATTACTTTTATTAGGACAACCGGCTTCTTTTTTCCTCCCCTACCTCTAACCAAAGCTTAACACTAACCAACCCAAAAGAGCTCCTCAGGCTGTCATCCAATTACCTTAATCCTATGAGGACCAACAAACTGCCCATATGCGTTCTCATAGGTGACTTTCTTCTCCCGCAGGGCCACACGGTAGCCCCAGTTCAGGGAGCCAATGTGATTCTGCACAGCTTCTGTCATTTTTGCCCAGTCATGTTTAACTGCACAAGAAAATAAGACATAATGGTTAGCTTTCCAACTGCCTAGGGCAAAGATGGTTTCTCCGTAACTATTCGGAGTGGAGGACAAAGAGCAGAGCTTTTCGTGTCGCAAAGGGCAAGTCCTTCACTTCAAGCACACAGGCAACCTTTCACGTTGAAATACTGTTTCCTTTTTAGAAAACTACCAGAATACTAAATAATGCAAGGCTTTCTGGCAATTCTTAAGACTGAAACAACCATTTACAACTGTTTCTCTTTTTTTTTTTTTTGAGGTCTAACACATTTTTATTTATGAAAACAAGTGTGACCTGCCAGCTAGAATTTGTTGACCCCTGGTGAGATCAGTGGCTCCCAATTATTTTTCCACCAGTAACCCCTTTTATTAGGCATCCTCTTGTGGATGCTATACTTAGTGTTTCTCTTCTTTATCTAGAAATGAATGGAAATTGTACTTTGGATTATAAATAGTAATTGCTGGGTTACAAGGTGTGGGAAGGCCTAGAATACTGTGTTTGTAATAACCCCTAAGGGACTCTGATGAAGCCAGGTTTGGCATTACCAAACAGGTTAACAGTCTCTAAAGCAGGGATTGCAAACTAAGGCCCTGCGAGCCAAAGCAAGCCCATCGCTTTTTATTCGCTTTTGCAAATAAAGTTTTATTGAAATATACCCACAATCATTTATTTACACATTATCTAGGGCTGCTTTTGTACTACATGGCAGAGTTTAGTAATTGTTGACCAGTACCACATGGACTACGAAGCCTAAAATATTTACTATCTGGCCCTTTACCAAGTTTACTGACCCCTGATCTAGACGAAGAATTTTAAGAGTCTGTCTCATTGCCCCCCAGATCCCAATCTCACTAGAGAGAGAGAAGTTTTTTTAAATTCTATTATAAAACTAATCTTTTGAGTCAAGGCACTAATATTAAATTTCAATGGATAAAAAAACACACCAATCCTTTGTCATTCATTAATTAATAACATATAGATGACTAGGAAAAAATAGGATACAAATAAAATATATTCTGGTGGTAGGAAGAAGGCAGGTTCTGGGAAAGCTGTGAGTTGAAAAGGACAGGAAAAATCAACCCATACTGAAAGCTTCTATATGGAAATGAGGAGCCTGAGTCTTAGGTTCAGAGTAGCCACACAGGAAGTGAAGAAACCAAGTCTGTGAAAACCAATGGCCAGCCTCCGGAAGTGGAAACGGCAGCATAAAAACGGGTTTGTGGCATCCTAGAGAACAGGGTATAGGTGGTCGATTCTCAAAATCATAAAATGTTAGAACTGCAGCAAACCTTGAGAGAACAGTTCAATTTTTTTAAAAAGTGACTGCAGAGGCCTTTGTC